TGTGGTTATTTTCAAGTCAAATCTCGTTGTTTCATATTGTTATGCTTTGCAATACTATGCTGTTCAGACTAGCTGAAGAGCGAAGAAGAAAGTTAATGGAAATGGAGAAACAGCTTGGCTCAGTTCAAGAAGCGAATGAATGAAATGAAGAAATTGGAAAAGCAAAAGCAGCAAAGCGAAGAAATGCAGAAGCGAATGCAAGCTGAAATCGCAGCTCTGAAACAGGTCATTTCTGTCTGTTTTGATTGCTCTCGTAAACGTTAGACGTAACATAAGGTACTTTCAGGCGAAGGTACGAATGGTGAAACAGCAGAAGGAAGAAGCGGAGAAGTATCGGCAGTGGAAGCTGAAACATGATAGAGAATTGATTCAAGTGAAACAGAAGGTTGTTGACTCACAGTTTTCATTCCACAGTTTTTTAGACTCGTTTCTTCGTTATTTAGGAACGTAAAAGAGATTTTGAAGCAGCTCGTGAAAAAAGGGCACATGATCAGCAAATGCTCGTGTGTAAGCAGAAGCTGGAGGAGGCAAAGAATGTTAACAAGCGCCTGCTGGCTCAAATGGAACGAAGTGCGGCGTTTTCTCGTGAGAAACCAGGCACCGAGAAGACTTTTGATCAGGCTAAGGTAGTATTTTCGAACGCAGTTCTAAAGCAGCTTGATATAGTAGAGTGAAGTATTGAACTAGTGTACTGTGGAATTTCGGGAGATTTCGGCGTTATTCAGCAATTCATCGAAGCTGAGTTGTCACTTATTGGAAGCTCTTACGAAGCAGAGCAGATGTGCCAGTCGCTCAAAGATCAGAGAAGGCAGCTTGGACGAAAGAAGGCTCGTCTGCTAATTCAACGGGAACGCTATGTTTCTCTTGAAGAGCCACTTAAGAAGGTGAGGGATGATTGGAAAAATATCTGTTCACATCCATTCCCTATAACCATTGTTTAAGAGGCGTTCTACCGAGGAAGGATCCGCCCTTTCTGCTGAGGATTGCGAGGCGTTGAGGAAAGATTGACGAAGATTT